CGGCCTGCAGGTGGGTGCCTCCCCAATTGCCCCTGTCCCCCTGATACCCCCAGCCCCCCCTAACCTGCCCCCTTTATCCCCAGGGGTGAATGCGTCCATGTCTTTGGGTTTGAGGTTTCGGAGGAGGAGTTTCGGGGGTGCCTGGACCCCAGTGCTGCCCCTCAGTGAGTACCCCACCCTGCATCCCCCCTGCCCTTGTGACCCAGGGATACCCCCCTCCCATGGCCCCATCCCTCCATGCCATGGGGAATTCCTCTTGTCCAAGGTGGGGGGGGACCCCCAGCTCGTCTGTGACCCCCCCCATTACCTACAATGCCTTGCTGTGGGGAGTGTGGGTAGCAATCTGAACTGCTCCGGTCAACTGAACTTTCACTTCTAACTCTTCCCCCCCAGCAGGGTGCAGTACCATGATAGTTTTCATGACCCCCTGGGCTGGAGCGGGGGGGAGCTTGAGGCCCTGGGGGCCCAGGAGTCCTGGTTCCAGGGGCTCCAGGGGACCCCAGGGGGAGCTGTTACTGTGGTGGTGGACTCCCTCAGCTGGATCCTGCTCCGGCAGCCCAGCCCGGCTGTGTGCCAGGCCCTAGCAGGTACCCCTGCCCTGATGCCTGGGTCCCCTGGAGGGGAGGTGGGGCTGCGGGGTGAGAGCTTGGGAGGCTGTGGGCCCAGATGCCTGGTTTCTCTGGGTGGAGACTGAGGGCTGGAGGGCACGAGCCAGGGGGCTGGATGCCTGGATTCTCTGCAAGAGGAGTGGCTGCTCGGGGGTGCCAGCAGGGGGCTGGGTGCCTGGACTCCTGGGTCCCGAGCCTGGCCCTGCTCTCCCTCACAGGTGCACGTGTGCAGCGGATGTTGGCGCTGCTCCACGCTGACCTGCACCCCCCGGGCCTGCTGGGGGTGCTGCGCTCGCTGGCCAGGGTCGTGGTGGCTCTGGCCCCCACCTCCCAAGGCCTTGGGGTGGGGCGTGGTACCCTCCACCTCGCCTCTGTCTTCCAGCGAATGAGAGCTGGCAAAGTCATCACCAAGGTCAGAGGGGGAGGGGGTTGGGGGGGAACTGGGGGGTCCCCCCCCCACTGGCTTCACCTCCCTTCTGCAGGAGGAGTACTATACGCTCCAGCCTGGATTCCCCCCCATGTCTGTGGAGGAGCCTCGGGGCCCCATATCCCCCCCGAGGGATGATGACATGATGGTAAGACCCCCAGCATGGGGCAGGGGCAGGAATAGAGGCGTGGAGGGATATGGTGGTGGCAGGAAAGGGGTGGGGCAGAGGACTAGGGTGTGGGGTTCAGGTCTAGGGGTGGAGCTGAGGGCAGGTTTGAGATTGGGGTGTGGCCTGGGGGACAAGAGTAGGGGCTAGGGGGTGGGGCTGAGATATTGGGGTGGGGCTCTGGGTTGGGGGTGTGGCTAAGTGGGGGGTTGACAGGTTGAGTGCCAGACACTGCTCTACACCCCTTCTAGGCTCATCCTGGCACCTGGCTGACCTTCGACCCCAGGGCCCAGCTGACCTTCAACCCCAGGGTGTCGGTGGAGCAGCAGCGGGTGCGGGATGCCATGCCCCTGCCATTCCAGTTCAGCCCATGCAAGTCAGTGCGCCCCCCCCACCCCCAATGAAGTGCTGGGGGTGGGGAAAGAGATGCCAGCCCACTCCTCCTCCCAATAATGCCCCCCCACACTATTTCTGGGTGGGATCTAACCCCATTTGCCCCTCACCCTGGGCAGGAAGTTGTCGGTGTTGGACCAGGGGGGGCAGATATACTACGAGCCAGACCCTGGGGATGACCTGGATGACGAAGACCCTGATGATGATCTGGATGTGTGAATGGGGGGGCTCCCCTTGCCCCCCCTGGACTTCCATGCTCCTCCCCGGGGTGGGGGGAGCAGGGGCAAATAGAGCCCTAGTTTACCCCAGTGAAGAGGGGTGGGGGGGGCCTCAATGTTCCCTTTGGAGGGGAAAGCCCCCCCTACATCCTATTTTTCCCCTTCTCCAGCCAGTGTCCCTGTTGGGTTTTTTTTGAGGGGTGGGTATGTTGCTCCGGTGATGGGAGAGGCCTTAATAAAGATGGCTGTCAACACTTAATTGGTTGCTGCTCTTTAGTGTGTGTGTAGGGGGGTGCTTCCCAGAATCTTTTGTGTCTGGTATACATCTGGTTCTGCTGAGGGCAGGAATAGGTGTGGACACCAGAGCAGACCCAGGAGCCTGGACATCTGGGTTTGCTTTGCCCTGCCCCTCCTTCGTAGGGGGTGGCAGCCAAACTCCGCCCTTCATGCTGCTAGCTCCGCCTACCACCCCTTAGGCCCCTCCCCGCTGGTATAACATCTCCTGGCCCCCCCCCCCCCCGGCCACCCTCCCTCTGCTTCGGCTCTGGCCCCTGCCTTAAGCGTGGGTGCAACTTTCTGGCCCTGCCCACCCCGCCTCTGGCTCCTTTCACCGCAGCCCAACGAAGCTGACCACGCCCCCTCGGGGCTTCGGCCCCTCCCCTGCCAGAGGCCATGCCCTACCGGCGACCGTCTTGTCCCACGGCTCCTGTGTCTCCGGCGGGGACACGGCACGTCCCGCAGGCGGGGAGGGGCTGGGCGGCGCCGGGCACCTGCAGCGCTCCGGAGGGAGGGCAGGGGTTAAAGTGCGGGGGCGCCGCCCATAGCAGCTCCGGGCCCTGAGCCCGCCCCCGGATACCCAGAGTTGCCCCTGGGGGCTGCCGTTCCGCGTTCCCAGCGCGCAGGGGCTGCTGGGGAGTGCATTACGCTGCGGCCCGGCAGCCATTTTGTACCTCTGGGAAACGGGGCGGAGCCTAGCACCCGCTTTGCGCCAGGGGCCAATGGGAAGCGGAGGGAGCGGGGCCGCGCGTGCTCTGTGGTGGCGACCTCGAGCGCCCGCGTTTTTTCCAAACCCCTTTTTTGCCGCCCCCCGCTGCCGTCGTCCCACCTCCCTCACAATCCCCACCCGGAAGTTCAACGCTACTTCCACCTGTCCCTCCTCGACCCGGAAGGGGTTCCGCCGGAAACGACTCCGCCGGCGGCGGCGGCGGCGCTAGGGGCCGGGTAGCGGCTGAGGAGGCGCCGAAGGGA